GAGCTAAACGTTCCTTCAGAGGCGCCGACAGCTGCCGGCGAGGCGGCCAGTCCTAACATCTGTGTGTCTGTCCACAGATGTGCGGAGCGACATTACGACTCATCAAAGTTCAACTGCCAAGGTGAGCCTGTCCTCTTGTGACCTCTGACCTTTGAGAGGCAGCGTGTTTGTCTGGTGTTGGGTAACGAGCCGCCGCTCTGCTCCTCCTCTCCCAGTCGCTCAGTTCCCGTTCGAGGACCACAACCCGCCCCAGCTGGAGCTGATAAAGCCGTTCTGCGAGGACCTGGACAAGTGGCTGAGCGAGGACGAGCAGCACGTCGCCGCCATCCACTGCAAGGCGGGAAAGGGCCGCACCGGCGTGATGATCTGCGCCTACCTGCTGCACCGGGGCAAGTTCCAGGAAGCTCAGGAGGCCCTCGACTTCTACGGGGAGGTCCGCACCCACGACAAGAAGGTAGCCTTTCTGTGTTAATGTGGAGCCTTTACCTCGTGATACGCGGCGCCCTGAGCCGCTGTTGTGATGAATCAGGTTGTAACTGGGCGGTAAACCCTGAGCGGGTACTCCCACAGGCCAAACACATGCAGCTAGTGGGGTTAGGTTACCTGGTGACTCTAAACTGTCCACAGGTGTGAGTGATTGTCTCTGTCAGCCCTGCCACAGCCTGGCGGCCTGTCCAGGAGTTCCCGGGGTGCCCCTGCAACCCTGACGAGGATGAGCGTGACAGAATGGATGAATTCTGTCTGCAGAGGCGGCTGATGAGGATGCTGAAAGACTCTGATATAACCTGACCTCACGATTGATCTGTTGCTGTTCAGGGTGTGACCATCCCGAGCCAGCGGCGCTACGTTGTCTACTACAACTTCCTGCTGAAGAACCAGCTGCAGTACAAACCGGTGGCTCTGCTCTTCCACAAGATGCTGTTTGAAACCATCCCCATGTTCACCGGAGGCACCTGCAGTGAGTCTCGAGCAGTAAGTCCGCCGTCGCTTCGACTTCGGTTGAATTAACGGGTGTCCCTGTGCTCCCCCCGCAGACCCCCAGTTTGTCGTGTACCAGCTCAAGGTGAAGATCCACACCTCTAACCCCGCCCACACCCGCAGGGAAGACAAACTGATGCTGTTTGAGTTCCCGCAGCCACTTCCTGTCTGTGGAGACATCAAGGTGGAGTTCTTCCACAAGCAGAACAAGGTGCTGAAGAAGGTGAGGAGGTGACGGAGTCTTACTGTTGTCCTGAGTCGGGTTCACATGTGGCCTGGTGTCATTTGTCTTGTGCAGACCCCGTGTCTGAGCAGGACTGAATATTTCCTCACAGTCAAAGGTCAAAGGTCAGCCTGGTTTATTCAGTGCCAAACTCAAACTAGTCTTTCCTGTAGATGTTCAGCATCAGTTTTAGGAGCAGGTTTTTCTCCGGGGACCAGAGGACACGTGTCCACGATGGCAGAGTGCACGCCGGCCTGGTGTCCTCACTGCTTTTTCTCATTGTAGGAGAAGATGTTCCATTTCTGGATCAACACCTTCTTCATCCCGGGTCCGGAGGAAGTCCCGGAGAGGATGGAGAACGGCAGCGCGGGGACACCCAGAGAGCTGTTTGACAGGACGCCGCAGACCCCGATGACGCCGGGAAGCGAAACCAACGACAGAGACTACCTGGTCCTCACGCTGACCAAGAACGACCTGGACAAGGCCAACAAGGACAAGGCCAACAGGAACTTCTCCCCGAACTTCAAGGTAAGCTGCTGAGCGGCGACGCCGCTGACGGTGATGGTGCTGAGCAAATATCCTGATTAGGGATGCAACGATACCAATTTTTTCAAACCGATACGATACCGATACTTGGATCTGAGTACTTGCTGATACAGAGTACAAAAACCGATACTTCTACCACACACACACAAATAGAATTAATTGGAAGACAGGTTTTATTTTATTCCCTGCCGATAAAAAATAAAATCTTATTAAAAATGACCTCAAGTGAAAAATAAACACTGTTTGGAATAAAATAAATACAAATTAGGTTTGAGAATAAATTAAACTTTTAAATTATTGCAGAGTGTCCATATTGTAAACAAACAAACAAACAAAATAATTATTATTAAATAAATAATAAAATATAAAAAATTATAAAATAAATAATAGATAAAATAATAATTGCCCCCCTAGTGGCCAATCTAAAAAACTACAACAGAAATGACAAGCCACCCTCTGATTAATGAAATAAGTTGGTATTGGTTAAGTTTTACGAGTATGAGTACACACACATTTTACAGTATCGGCACCGATACCGATACCGGTATCAGTATCGGTGCATCACTAATCCTGATTGTTTTGTTCTTTAAGAAAAAGACTCGTTAAGTTGACGAGCCGCACAAACCCAGCCTGTAATGACCAGGAAGAAGATTTCTGCTGGCCTGTAAACTCGTTAGAAGCACAGAGAGCGATGAGCGGCAGAGCGCAGCTGCCCGCCATCTGTAGTTTAAAAGCGTGAGCAGCGAGGTTGGTTAGCAGCAGGCAGGCGACCTCCAGACTGACGCTCTGCTTCTTCTTCTGCTTCAGGTGAAACTGTTCTTCACCAAGACGGTAGAAGAAGGAGCCAACTGTGACACGAGCAGCACGTCCTCGATGACGCCAGACGCCAGCGACAACGAACCGGATCACTACCGCTACTCGGACACGACGGACTCGGACCCTGAGAACGAGGGGTTTGAAGACGAAGACCACAATCAGATCACAAAAGTCTGACACACACGCACTCTCTAATACGCAAACATATACGTGTATATATCTCCAGTATGTATGTGTGTATACGTGACCCCGGACGAAGACGAGCGGCGGTTAGCTGACGGGGAGCAGCGCCGGCGGACCGCGGCTGATCAGCGGGACTCAAAGAGCTCTGATCAGAAAACTTTCCCCCCCCCCAAACTTCTACACAGCTGGACAATCACATGACATGGATTTGTAAGCATGTGGGCGGGGCCAGGCGAGTGGACAGTGTGACGCAGGAAATCACAGTTTAAAGGAGTAAAACTTGAATCTAGACAAACGGAAAGACGAGTAGACTTCTTTAGTGAGCACGCCGCGGCGTCTGGGACGAAGCCCCTCCCAGCTTTCAGTGTCGTGCTGAGCGGGCTGGACTCTTCATCTCTGCTCTTCAGGCTTTCTCAGTGTTGATGCTTCTCTCTGTGCTGAGAACTCAAATCCAGGTCGCGCGTGGACCCACGTGGAGCTTTGAAGGCCAGTTCCTGTGCTTCACCTGAACCTGAGACTAATTTACTGACTCAAAATGTGAAACCACGATGATGACGATGGCCATGTCATGAACCTGGCGAAATATCAGCCGGTGAGGCGAATCTGTTCTTGTAAAAAGAGATGCTGATTTAAAAAGGTCGAACCCCCGGGTCACCGTGACCGCATTTATTTATCCTCCCGAATACTTCCAACACCTTCAACTGGAAACTCCTGCTCCAGTTTGCAGCAGCCTGTTTAATCCAGTCTAAACTGGGTTGGGCTGAACGTTCTCCCCGAGCCTTGTTCGGTCCCGTCGCTGATCTGGACCCAGTTTGGGACAAAGCACAAAGAGAAGCGACAACCTGCTGTTGAATGTCAAGATGAGAAACGTTATTATTCACAATCCTCTGCAGCTCCGTCAATCATCTGCTGAAGGACGCTCTGAGTGCGACCCGAGCGTGAACACGTGCTTCACCGCTTCTCTGTCCTCAGCTTTGCACAGAAGGACTCTGTTCAGTCTTTCAATCAGCTCCTACACTTCCTTGTTTTTGTTGTACTCTGAAATATATCAATCATTAAGCTAAACGACAAATGAGCTACTGCACAGTATAACCATTCCTGCAGCGATCTGCTTTTAAGCTACACACCTATATAGGCTAGCCCCCCAGCACAGACTGAGGCAGAAATCTTTGACTCCAGAGCGCTGGCTGTCGGTGTCTGGCGTGCACTTTATGAAGGACACTCGAGTGAATCTCGACGGCCTTGTAAATATTTCCAGGCGAGCTCCGTCTGTGCAGGAGCTCTGATTCGGCTCGTGTTGCGCTGTAGTCCTCGTAAAGCTGCCGTTTGCGAGCTTTGGCTTCCTGCAGCCGGAGTCCGCAGCATGGGAGTGCCATCGTTACAATGTCATGGATTTATTTTCAGTAAAACTACTTTAAGCTAAAGATCTGCCAGGTCCATTCGGAGCATCTTTTGAATGGACACTGGGACTTCGTCGGGGTCATGAGGATTTTGGGATCGCCGCCCAAAAAAAGGCGAAACGCTGTGCTGACCGAGCGGCTCCATCACGATGGTCAGCCTCTGTGTGTCTCTGGTTTCTGATCTTTCAGAACGCTCTAGAATTATTACTCTGTCCATAGACTATTAATCGTTTTTACTCACTACTACTTCTTGGAGATGTTTAAGCACTTATATTCTTGCAAATTGTACCTTTAACACCAGGGACGATGGCTGGAGAGTCACGTGGCATCGCAGCAGGTTTGAGACTTGTTTCAAATTGACAGAATGAGTGTTGGAGATATTTCAGCTACTGGAGGTTTGGCTTTGCCACGCAACACTTGTAAAGTGAAAGCGGGCTCTTGGACGACTGTTTTGACCATTAAGCTTCTTCTTGCACATCCACCGTTCTGCATAAAGATATTACATGTACAGTATAGTAAGGCCTAATGCAGTGACCATAAACACCGTATAAAAGTGTCCGATGGTCCGGAGCATCTACAGGGTCATCTGCGTCCTGGTCGGGCACAGGTAGACGTTTTAGTCCTGACGCTTGATTTCCGTCCTCGCATTTGGTGCTAAACGCTATCGTGGACCCCGCTATGACTGATTCATCGTAGGTGTGGTATCTGGGTCTCTGTTGTTGAACCTGTTGGTCTTGGCAGGTCTGGTCACACAGGATGCACCGTGAGGATCTAAAACACAAACTCCAGAGTTGTAGTGCCGATGCCTTCAGTAAAAAACTCCCATCTTGATCTCCAGATGTGTTTAAAGTCAAAGAGCTGGTGACCTGTAATGAAGGCAGAGGCGTCAGTAATGATATCAATCATGTTCAGTTGCAATCAGGATAAATAAGATGCTGAACCTTGAGCTTGACCCCAAAAGGAGAAGATCTGAAGATGTGTTTGACCCTCAGATCTGTGGGAGCTCGTCCGTTCTTGCCATCCAAGGTTGAACATGTTTGCAGAGGTCTCGATGATGATGCTGAAGCAACTGCCAACTGCTCCTTTGTGCTCTCTCTTACGACCGATCTAACGCCTCCTCAGCAGTGCCGAGGGTTTTTAGGTTCGATTGACATTTAGCCAAACAAACGGCGTCCTGTGTGAGCACGTCTAACGCCGTGGCCTGGTGCTACTGACAGCCGGTGCATGCAGCTTGTTGAGCGAGCCCAGGACTGGTCGTCCATCTGTGGTGCTCTCTACCAGCAGCGTGTTCGTCCACTCCTGATCTCTACTGCCCAGCAGCTGCGTCGTCAGCGTGGCCATACAGCCACTGGGATTTTTACAGCAGCATTTCCTGTCTCGAGTCCCGTTAGGTGCTATCAGACCTGGCCTCGCGTCCTGTCACTGACCCGTTCAGCAGTGACCAGGGTGTAGACCTGTACCAGAGTCCATTCAGGTGGATTTGTTCTTAAAACCCAGTTTTACTGAAGCGCGGTCGCTCGATGAGGTGGCAGGTCGTGGTCGAGTCCAGAACGATGGGTAGAAGCTGCGCTTTGACTCTTTGTGGTTCTCCAAATGATTTTCCAAAGGGAAGCTTGCAGAGATCCAGCGATGGGTCCGAATGTGGACGACTGAGTGCTGTAGTGTTTCATGTTGGTGATGTTCTCCACTGCTGAGCAGGTTCAGGTGTTTGAGGCCAGGCAGGTGCTGTCCACGTCTCTGACTGTTCAAGGTGCTCAGTGTCTTTTCATTGTTGGTTGTATACAAACCTCCGTTCAGCTCTTCACCTCGCCTGGAGTTTCATAGAAAGTGGTCACCTGTTAACAGAGCTGGGGTCAAACTCCTCCCTGATTCTGACATCATCAGGGATTCTGCGGCAACTCTGTGCGAAGGAACCTCGAACTTTGCCTTTTAAAGCACCGCGCCTGCCTCTTTCCCACTGATGTGGTGCTGAAACAGCGGCCCCACCAGAGCGCCTGCTGCTCCTGAAGCTAGGACCCGTGACGTCAAACGCTACGGGAGGGCCTACCGCGAGAAATTCATCCAGTGATTGGCAGACTCTGGGTGGGGTGCTTTTCGCGCAGATATTAGCCCAACATCTGCTAACGATTCTCAGATCTGTGCGCTGGTTCTGGCACCAGTGGAAAAGCGGTCATCGTGACAAGCGCCGGTACTTCCTGCTCCTTCAGACGTCCTGTTTCTGTCCCCGACCACACAGCGCTTCAGCTCTGCTGTTTGCGTCTCTTCACCAAACCTGCCAAGATGAAGCTCGGACGCCTTTGTGTTTCTAATTGTTGAGTTTGGGTCCGTTTGTAATCACAGTCTGTGCTCACACTGTTTGTTTTTCGCCGTAAGGTTAAGGCGTCACCGTTTCTCTGTGCAACAGTCTGTAGATAGATGCTCTATTGATCCTACAAGGGAACTGGGACCCATCAAAACATGTGACAGAGTCTGCTCGTGTGATCCTCACGGATTCACAAACCAGTGTCAGTGTTTCAGCCTCCTTTCATTCAAGTAAATCAGATGGATTCGTCATATGACCTTCAGTAGTTTCAGACGTTTCCTCGGAGTTGTGTACCCAAACCATGTCTGTTGGTCCAGTCAGAGAAAGAGCAACAGAAACTCGTCCAGATCAGGCTGTTTAGCCATCTGTTCTGCTTTTGTCTCATTACTGAGCTGATGTCAGCTGTTCCCCAGATCTGAGTCCTGAACATAAAACAACACATCATTGGCGTAGAGTATCTCCTCTCCTGTTCAAACGTTAACCTGCAGAGCCCCGGGTGCTGCCCCTCAGCAGGCTTCCAGAAGACAGCGAGCGTGATTTCAGGGAGACGTTTGTTCCCAACAGGAGATGCTGGCCAGGCTTTATTGGGCCGAGCTTTGACTGGTCAGTCCACGGGCTGTGGTGAAATACGTTTTAACTGAGGTTTAATAAATAAATCAATGTGGGCCCGTGTCTTCCTGGCGTCCTGTTAACACTCGATGGCTGTTTCAACACATCCAGAATTATTTGCTGTCACTAACGGGCAGCTCGCTCTTTGCCTTTAAATCTATATTTCACAGATGTGTGGTGTCATCACTAAGCCCCGCCTCCTGCTGTTGGGTATCTCGGTAACAAAATAAACACGAGCACCTTAAATCCGTTAAAGCTGGCGACGTGTCTTGGCGCATTCGACCAGTGAAAACTAAAAGGAACGCGGGACGCTACGCAGCTGCTCGGCTTGTTTTCACGGCGACAACAACAGTCATTAGCATTAGCTTAAACGAGGTCGCTAGCACAATGCTAACAATAGCTTTCCTTCTGCTTTGCTGTTTAAGGACGGCCCCTTTCTGGGGCGGGGTTTGTGGTCTCGATCAGATGTGGTTTCGTACCCGACTCCGAGCCTCGTGTCACATGTCAGCTGCACACAGGTGTTCATTTTATTTTCCAATCAACAAACAAAAAGTGTCACCTGACTACAAACTATATCACCATGGCAACATGTTAATCTGACCCCACCTCTTTTATTCCTCCTCTCCTTGTTTTATAAAGAAATAAAAACACTGTAAAGGTGAATAAACTATTTATAAACAGCTGCTCATTGTTTGATTTTTGTTGGCTTGGTTTTAGAACTACGACTCCCATAATGCTTCAGGTGTCTGCCAGTATGAAAAAGAGTTTCTCTTAAGGTCCATTTGCTCTGTTATCAAGTGCTCCGTGCGCTGCTTTAAGGGAAGAAAATGGCTTTGGGGCATTTTGTTGAATAAACTCTTGGTGAACTCATGTTTTAAATGGCCTGTATTTGTAAAGCGCTTTACTTGGTCCCCAAAGCACTTTATACCACATCCACCCATCCACACACACACTCACACACTGGTGATGCAGCTACTTTGTAGCCACAGCTGCCCTAAGAATTCACTTCTTGTCCAGTAAATAATTAATGGGCTGATTCTGATACATTGTTTCAACACACGTCATTCTTAGAGACGCCCACGTTTCACACTGTGATGGAGGACACTGCAGACGGGAATCGAACCACCAACTCCCACCTTAGACGACCCGCTGTGCCAGCCGTGAACGACCATCGTCGTCTTCTCTGACAAACTCGTTTATGCTCCGCTGCTGCACAGACTCGTGCACACAGGAGCGCCTCAGCTCAATGCTGCGTGTGCGCGCATGTGCACGATCGACCGGTGACTTGGCAGAAATGATAATGGCTCGCTTCCCCCACCGTGCAGCGCAGCAGCGAGCGGGGAGGAGAAATGAGGTCACACGCGCTCAGTGTGCCTCGTGGGCAGCGAGCCATCACTGATTCTGTCTCATCTGCTGCTATAAAAAGATCAAAGGAGGCGCAGAGCAGCGGAGACGCTCAGGCAGCAGCTCCACCAGCTGGACTGCACCCACCACGCCTCCACCTCAGACAACCGGCCGGTCACCTGACGCCTTAAGGTGTGGCAGATTTCACATCAAACGCTTCACCCCTCATTCCACGGAGGGTGCAAGCTTCCACCCACGCTCAGCTCCACCCACGCTCACTCGCTTTGTTTTGACCCAAACAGCTCAGCTCATAAAACAGCTTCGAGGTCACTGACGCTCAGCTGTCAGTCACCTCCACACCACACAGAAGGTGTGAGGCGTTCAAAGACCTGCACAAACCGGAGGTAGGACCAAACACAGCCGCCCTCCTCGACTCGTTCTGACCCAACAGGAGACTAAATATCAACAGCGTTTCCATGAGCGTATCTCAGTGCTGCTTTCAAACACCTGCCACTGATAAACTGGTCCCAGTCCCAGTTACAGGACAGGGGTAACTGGGAGTTCTCCAAGGCTCCACCCGGGGGCTCCTGTTATTTCCAGTGGAGGTCAGTGATTAACGAGTTTAATGTAAGAACAAATAATGTGAAGCTGAAACTGGTTTTAACAAACTTTTTACTAACGCCAGTGAACGCAGCACAAGCTCACAAATCTGCAGTTCATTGATCGACAAAAGAAACATTGTGATTGATTAGTTTAATGATTGATCAGGAAAATTTGGCCTTCAGCACTCTGAGCATGCTCAGTGCGGACTCCACGCAGCCATCAAAGTTGGAGTGGGTGAAGGCGTCGCCGCCGCAGACAAGCAGCGGCTCGTCCAGGATGGTCATGTGACCCGGACAGTCAGGCACTGAGGTCTGCACCTGCAAGAGAAAGGGGGAGGGGCTGTGAGTCAAACGCCGCATTGGGGGAGGAGTTCAGGTTACAACAGATGACTCACCTGTGAGTACCGCCACTTCTGACACTTGATGCTGATTGGTTGAGGCAGGCCAGGAAGCAGCCTGTGCAGCTCCCGCAAGATGACTGGCTGGACATCCTCCTTGTCTCGCTCCAGGTGTTCCAGGCCAAACGGGACGCCGGTGTGTACGACGAGGGAGGGGCCGCGGCCTGGAGCGTCTGAGCAGGTGGACAAAAGCAGTGAGCGAGATACAGGTGAGAGGAACATACAGGGGAGCAGACAGATGACGGACGCACCTGCGCCGCGCTTCTTGGAGTCCACGGCGACGTAGCGGATGCAGCTGCTGTCCGTGACGTACTTCGCGCCCCAGGGAACTTTCACGACGGCGCCGGGGGAGAAGAAGAGCGCGAGGGCGAAGCGGGACGAGTAGACGACGCCCTCCAGCTGCTGCCTCTGCTGGACAGACAGCACTGACAGACAGGGAGACATGGGCCAATCAGCAGGAAGCCCCACCCCCGAATCACCACAGAAGAACTCACCTGTGTGTGTGTGTGTGTGTTTGTGTGTGTGCGTCACTCCAGACAAACATGTCTGCTGCTGTTTCATTCTCGGCTTAGAGCTCAGCGACAGAAACAGGCTGCTGCCTCACACACACACACACACACACAGGTTATTATTAGATGTATGTGTGTGTGTGTCAGCTCAGAGGAAATGGGCGCTGTCTGCTCTCAGCCAATCAGAGAAGCTGAAGGTGACATCATCATCTAGAAAGACACACGTGGAGCTGCTGCTGGTCTGCAGCAAGTGCGCACACACACATACTTGTATTTCTGTCTTTGTGAGGACAGTAGTCACTACCGAGGACCCCACACACACACAGACACACCCACAGACACACACACAGACACACACACACACAAGCACACACACACACACACACACACACACACACACACACACACACACACACACACACACACACACAC